GAGTGACGTCAGGCGGCGAGCGCTGGCCGGAGGGCTCCCGTGTACTGCCCCGGACTCCAGGCAAGCGCCCCGGCGGGCGGTGCCCGGTCGCCCTGGAGGTTATCCCCGCACCAAGGCGGGAACCGCAGCCCGATAGGCCGCCTCCACGCACGAGCCGCGGCGCTCTGGCCCCTTTGTCCCTCCTCTATTCCCAGACTGTTTTTTTAAAAATTCTATTTTTTTTTTTTATTTTATTTTTTTTTTACTGTGTGCCAGGCACTATGCTGGACTTTGCGGACGCAAAGGGGACAAGTAACTGCCTCCTGGCTTCGTGGAGCTTACAGTCCAGTATAGGAGGCAGAAGTTAATAAACGATTAGTTAAGATACGTAAATGAAAAGGGAAACTATGACAATTGTTACAAGGAAAAAAGTACAGGATGCATTAAAGCCCAAATAAGAGAAATTAACATGAATGTGGGTTTAGCAAAGAAATCCCCCAAGAGGAAGTTATGGAAAGTATGTGAAACCACGTACAATCTACAAACCAGGAATGCACTCAGCCTAAGAAATAACCCAAGAAGTAAGCGTCTGAACTGACTGACTTCAAAACCCCATGCTCTTTCTTTAGCATCATGCTGCTGGGTCAGGATCATCAAACACCATCTGGTGGGGAATTCTTTTGAAGGATGCCTCTCAGGATGGAAGAAGGAGTTGCTGAACTGACACTTCAAATGCCTCTTTAACAGGGTTTCTTTTTTAGCTCTACTGACAATTTTTGCTGAGACTACTTATAATAAATGTAGGGCATCTCTTCTACAAACAGTGTTATTAGGCTTTCATCAGGAGTACACATGAGGTGTATTTTTGAACTAGGTACATAAGCCCCAGGTATTTGCATTCATATTGCAACAAGTGGAAAGTTCCATTTTTTTTCCCCCAGAGCAGAAATGAAGTCCTAGCCAAGTTCTGGAAGTAGATAAAGGGCAGAAAAAGGAGAAAGATAGCAAGCAGCAACTGTCTTACTTGTACAGTCTGAGGTTGTTAGATCTAACTTGGGTAGAAAGGGAGCACAAAAAGTTGGGAATTGAGAAAGTGGAGTAAGGGAGTGAGGGTAGTGAGAATCAGGGCATAATAAGACAGGAAATATATGAAACAGACAAGACAAATCTTGGAAGACATCAGGAAAATTTAAAATAAACTATGGGAAAAAATAGGACATAATAACAGATATCATATAATACATACTTAAAATATAATAATAGATGTTACTATAATAATTACTGAACACTTATATTTTGCCAAGCACTATATATGTGTATATAATGTATAGCTATACACTGGGGCCAGCAGGTGGTGTAGTGATTAAGGTGCTGGAATCCCATGTTGTCCGTCGCGGTTGGAGTCTGGGACCCAGAGGCTTAAAACTCATGCTGAGTGCATGTGCATGTGTACCCAAGATCCTGAAAGGAGAATGGAGGAGAATGTGACTGTGGCATGGCCAACCCCCCCCGGGGGGGGGGGTGATTTCTTACTGTCTCTCTGTCTCTCCAGCAAGTGCATGTGCCCTATAGCACAAATCTCTCTCAAAAACAAAAATACATATACTATTGGTTATTAGGAAAGTCGTGACATATTTTTGCAACAGACAGCACTAGTTCATTTTTGGAAGTACTATAGTCATTTGCATCTATGTTATTGCTATGTGATTTGACAGCTGACAGTTCTAGCTTCCTTCTAAAAAAAAAAAGTTAAGTGATTTGGTTGGGTTTTGGAGATTTTACAACAAATTGAGGATGGATGACTAAACTTGAGTTTTCACCATGTTTTACTGTCTTACTTCCACAAAGGGAAGAGCACACATCAAGCTTGTGGAAAGTTCATAAAGTTTATGGTCACGATGCTCCACAAAATGTCAGGGCCAATGATTGTTCATGAAATTGTGTGCTGGTGATTTTGATCTCAATGACGCTCCTTGGTCAGGGAGACCACCCAAGGTTGATGACAACAAAATAAAGGCACTGACCGAGTCAACCCATGTTAAACGGCACAGAAGATTGCAGAAACATTGAACGTCCATCATTTAAGCATTCACAACCACCTAAAGAAGCTGGGATATGTAAGCAAGCTCAATATTTGAGTGCCTCCAGAACTGGAAGTTCATTTGATGAGTCATGTAAACATCTGCGATATGCTCATCCAACATGAAAGACGATCCTTTTATTGAAGGATCATACTGGTGATACCAAGTTAGAAGTGCTATGGTTATTTATCAGGTGCTGGAGGGTCACAGTGGAGGAAGGAACTGGTACTAACGACTGATAACTGGCGATGAGCAGTGGATTGTTTACCACAATGTGGTGTGCAAATGGTCTTGGTCCCAACATGATGATTCATCTCAAATGACATAGAAAGAAAGAGTTCATCAGAGGAAGGTTACGCTCAGTGTGGTGGGATTTGAAAGATGTTTTTCAAGCTGCTACCAAGGAACTGAACAATCAATTCAAATGTC